TCATTTGACTTGGGACAGCCCTCAGTGGGCCACAGAAGTCTATTTCAACAAAAAATAATAATTAAAATATGGTCATTTTTAGGAAAAAAACCCTAAACAACCAACCAAAACCAAACACTCAAACCAAAACCAATCATGTATAAGATGATTAAAAAAAAAAACAAACCAACAAACAAACAAAAAACCAAACAACCAACAGACCAATACACTTGATATCTTTTGCTGTTCTCTGTGTTTCCAACACTGATTGTAGAAGCTTCTACCAGATGCTAGGAAATTTTTGCCAGGATGCGTTCAAATGAAATTACTTCCAAAATAAGAGACAATCTGGAGGTTAATAAAAATCTACCACCTTCATAAGTTTCCACAAATAATAAACTTAAAACATCAGATAATTTCCAGCTATCAGATATTTCAATACTCAATCTGTGGGGGTTTTTTCTGAGGCATATTCAGAGAAATGGCTAAAGGAACTGTAATGGCCTTCTGGGACAGGAAGACTAAGGTTTCTGTAAAAAATGTTAAATTAATTTTTATAGTGATGCAAAGTCAGGGAAGGGTTGTTAAGGGATGGCCTCTTGCCACAGGGTGGAGTTTTGTTTTGGTATCCTTTTAGAGTCTGCAGGTGTTTGGCAGGAGCTGAAATCAGGGCCAGCTGTGATATTTCAGCTCCGATATTTCCCTCCCCATATTTCTCAGAAGTGATGCATCAGGGTGATATCTTACACCTGATGTACTCAACTTGTGTGGTATGACTGTAACTGCTTTGGGGGCAGGGGTGGCGGGGAAGTACCACTGCATGACTTCCATTTTTATTTTCAGCTGGCAACATTCATATAGTAAAATTCATCAACATGAATGGATTTAATCTGGTAAAACATCAGATAACAATTTATTAAACTGCCCACAATATTTCTGGGTTATTTTGTTGCTTCTTATAAATGCCAGCCATTTAATTAAAGTAATAACATTGTATAAGAACAGTGAAAGAAATTACATTGTGAAAGGGGGGAGGGTAATGTTTTAAAGAAAACAAAAAAAACCCCTCACTTAATCAGCAAAGATCTTTGCTCTTTCATACTTAGCTGCAGTACAGCGCGTACCTGTTTTTGTTTTGTTTTATCTTTTGGGAGAATTTGAATAGTTTCTATTAAAAATGGTATTCTCTTTTAAGTTTGTTTTGTTTGGAAAACCTCAAACCACATTGTATTTCATACACATGTTCCCCAGGGTATGTTAAATGGGACCATACTGAGGTCACTAGTAAGTTTTTTAAAATGTTTTAAGAATTCCTTTAGTGTTTGTACTATGTTGGCCTGGTTAAACAACACATTTTTTAAAAAATAGCTTGAAAAAGTTTGACTATAAAAAGCTTCATTAAAATAGTCTATACTGTACTGTTAAGAGTTTCTAAGAACTTCTACAAACATTCTTTCCTCCCTCTTGCTTTTAAGAAAATTGGTCCCTTAACTAGCAAATCTGCTCCTTTTTCTCTCAGCCTTTTTATCCATACATGCACAAGTACAAGTACACATACACTTCTATCCACAGACTGACTTAGCAGTAGAAATGTCTGTGGTATTCATTTTAACTCCACAAATGAAGAAAAGATAATCAGTGGGAAAAGTGGACTTTTCACTCCATTCATGGAAAAATCAGCATCACCTGGCACTCTAACTTAGTAAAAAGTTTTTCATGTTTTTTGGCAGCTCACTTGGAGTATGATTGAAGCTGTTAATGATATTAACAAAATGTCCTGGGATCAAAAATGTTTTGTTTTACCTGAGTTTATAGAAGAAGTTATACAAACCACTCTTGGCCTTCAGAGTTCTGAGGTCCTTTTAGTTAAAATAAAATAAAATTTGAAAACATGACCCACCTGATTAGCTGATTAAATTCCACTAGACCATTTCAGTCACCTCCTTTACTTGTCTTTCCTATCTCCTCAGACTTGCTTCCATTCCTCCTTTGCGTTATTCCAACCCCTTCCCAGGATTTCTGTCTTTGCATTCTACCAGCCCAGTGCACCCTTTGCAGCATTACTGACAGCTGACCTAGCATATGCTTTGACAATTGTTGACGTCCATGCAGCACATCTTGGTCACTAATGGTGCAAGACTGCACTTATAATGAATGATGGTTCCATTATGGATATTAAAATCCGTAGATCAAATAGGAAGGCAATAAAATGAAGTTAAAAAATTAAATTGTGTTTAGGTCCAATTCTGCTGGTAACATCCAAAATAGAAGAGGTTAGCAAAACCCAAGTATTATCTGTTAGAGGTAGATTAGAGTTTGTCTGTACTGAAGTATCACTGGGTTCAATGTTTTTTGCAATGGTTGAAAGCAAATGAATATGAAAAGCTGATTACTACGTTATGATACACTCTTTCATTTTACATGACACTGTTTGTACTTGTTATACAGTATTAGTAAGTAAGGTTATTAAATGCAAGCTGAGTGACATCTTTCCTAGAAATATATTTTCTGATCTAAACTGAGCCTGAAAAACCCCACCATATTATAATGGGAGAACTGTGAAGAATGATTACAAAGTTCTTATACTTAATGATTGGGTTCAGCTTTACATATGAGAAAAATCTTGCTGCGATTACAGTATGTTCTTGTTGGTGGGTGCTGACTTTTCCCTCTTATAACTGAGATTTCATAGCACAGAGGATACCTAGATTACAGATTCTCAGGTGTTGCTAGACTTCTTCCCTAGTCTTAGACATAGTCTCAGGACACTATCATGCTTTTTGAGGTTTCAGAAACCAAAATTGCAGGCTGGCTTATGAAAGAGCAAAGCTATACACAAGCATGTGTGTTTATCCCAGATGCATGCCGTCTATACAGCAGCACAAAGATGAGCAATTGGAGGGAGACTCAGCAAGGTACAACAGCAAAAAACTACAGTTCAGAAGAAATGTGAAGGTGAAAAGGTTTGCTTGAACTATCCCTAAAAGCCCCTAAATCCAAGCTATGGATAAGTGACTCAGGGCAATGAAACCACCTGTGAAGGTCTGAAGTCTTCACCATCAAAATAAAAATTTGTGTAGAAATTAGAAAAATGTACTTAGCAGGCTGAGTATGCTACTCTCCGAATTCCTGGTCTTCTGGATGGTCTCTCCTATACATGAAGGTGGAGTGAGTGGGCTTAACTTTATATGTGAAGTAAATATCTGGCCATAAGAGCAATACCTTAAAATGTCAACACTTTTCCATATGTCAAGAAAGAAGAGGAAAGAACTGCCATCTTTTTTTTCCCCTTCCCTTGAACAGAACAGTAACTCTGAGAAAATGCTTAAGGAGGCAGGCAGCACAAGAAACGAAACAAACGTATAACATGCAGCATCGCCACAAATACTGACAATTCATTTCCAATACTAATAAGAATACAGTGTCTGAGTGCCACTTATTTCAGTAAAGGGTGTAGAAAAGACGTTTTCAAGCAGTTTCATCAGGAAGAAAAGAGATCAGTATGCCTGTTAACAGGAAAATAATTTGAAAAACCTGCCATATGGGGGTATCTGACTGCAAAGCACTGTGATACCTTTCATAGATAGGCTATGTCAGGAAATAACCTGACATATATATATAAAAATAATATATATAACATATATGTATATATAAATACTATTTAGGTGAATTCTAGTAAGAGCAAGGTAACCAAGCTAACCTCTCCAATTTGGGAGGTAATGGCCATCCCATGACATACTGTTCTAAAAAGCCGTCTCTTTCAGAGTGGACCTGACTTCTTACAATTTGCAGCATCAAAAAAACCCGAAGAATATTTTTCCAATGCTGCCCCAAGTCAACCACATTCTAAGTAAAATACTCTTGCTGTATGTTTTTCAAAGCCCAACCTTAATCCCTGTGAAAGTTAAGAAGTGAAAAGTTTGGCCCATGCATACTTTACAGCATGGTACTACATCATTTTAAGGAGAAAGAGCATATTTATTTAGAAGATAAATAGAAGTTTAGAAAAAAACTTCTTTCCTTGCAGTAGCCTAAAAAATATTGTCTTATACCTCTAAAAGTGTAATAAACATATTTATAACAAACACATTTATTATATACGTATTCCCTTCTGATAGAGATTGTTTTGACTGTTCTTCTTTCCCAAAGAGTACAATCATATTCAAAACCCTGACAAACGCTGGACATGTACGAAATTGGCTGCCTTTTTTTTCCCTCCAATGGTCAATCATTTTCCCTGTTACTCTCATTATTAGAAATTAATTTAAAGGAGATTCGTCACACAATAGAACAGCCATAAAATACTCTGTTACACTATTCAAGACAGTATAAATTGGTTTATGCTGGGCCCTTTAACCCATCATAAGCCAGAGGTTGAGAAGATGGGGAGGGATCAGGGAATATCCAGGTAATATAACTCTACAGATACCCAAAAGTAAAAATATTGTTTATAATTAAATATAGATGTTATTCAGTGGAAGACTTAAATTTTAAAATAAATAAATAAAAAAAAAGCTGACGCCAGGGAAACCACCAGGCCAAGAAAAGGTTAAAATCTTTCTGCATTTGACTTTTGTGCTTCCTTTTTCTGTTTCCAGTCAAAAGTTGCCCATTTTTTTCAAACAGTATAGATTCTGATTATCCATACTCCATACAGAAAATTGGTTGCTTGTGGACAGCAAGAAAGGTACTTTTCTGCATATTAACTGACAAAATGCAATTACATAACATATTACAGTTTTTTTCCCCATTTTACCAGCCATTTTTGAAAGACAGATGCCATACAAGACATGGAATACCTATGGTTTAATGCATTATGGCAAAATCTGTGTTCCCAAGCATATAATTCATTTAAGGATCTGTTTTTCTTATTATGCTATATTATTGGCTTAAACTCAATCCACCATATAACTCTCAAAGTCCCAATTTAAAGTAGGTCTGAGTGGCAGGTAGAGTGATCATTACTCAGCATTTGTAAAACACATATAATAATGTATAGAAAAGATTTGGTGAGAACCAACCTGAGGATCCGAGAATACTTGCTGCATATTGTTGATTCGGCCGTATGGAACCCCGCTACCTTCAAAGAGCTGCAACCATTCAATCGTTGCTTTTTCTGAAAACCTAAGAGCAAATAAGAAGCGTGTGGTTTCAACTCCATGCTTTCAGATTCTGAAAAATGTATAGCATGTCTCCTCCCTCTCTCAATGCTTCCATACTCTTCCCCACTGATTTCTTCCCAGGCAGTGAATAACATAACGAAAATGTACTACCTGAAATGTAATGTGTTCTTCAGAAATGCAAAACCCAAAGACATAGGGGAAAGAACATAGCTGAACTGATATCTATTTCTATCTGATCATCTGAAGCAATCCAGCAATGATGTAAAGCTAAATTTATCAGCAATTTCAAATAAAGATCAATGGGTTTCCTCCAGTCCTCAATTACACTAATGTGCTTGAAGTTTGTTTTCTTTTATGTACATATTTAACAACAAAAAGATAGCTATAATGTGGGTGTGAGTTTAACATATTACACTGCTCACTAAAAGCTGACGTAAAGCATCACAATGTTTTTCCTCCATTACACCCAAAATATATGTCAGGATTAACAGCCACATTTTTTGGTCAGATAACAACATTGATTATATATTTATTTGTTGTATGATTGTGTCACACATCCTGAGGACAACTGGTTCAGCATATATACACTGTGCCTATGCTGGTGAACACAGAGTTCCATGTCCTTGTATCACATACAAAAAGCTCAGCTTATCTCTTTCTAAGCATTCAATTCCATAACTGGTAGCACCACTCTATTTCCCCTCCTTTGCTAGATACTATTTCTTTCCTTGTCTGCCCGGTAGAGTTACATACATGAAGAAAACACACTTGAAGCAATACCAGTCACTGAGAGATGGTATATTCTGCAGCCATATGGGATTCTGAATCAAAGGTGAACTTATTTGGAGATTGTATCTTAAATTTCATGAAGGTAAATAACACAGAGGTCTACCAGATTATTAGAAAGGAAAGATCTACTTCATGATACGTACAACACAGAAAAGAAATTGGGTGTGATTTAAAGACTTGATGGAAATGAAATTAATAGAAACCTTGATAAGGGACACTCAATTACTGGTATGCTGTAGCTCACCAGTTCAGAGTTTCCTAAGCGTTATCTGGAACAATGTCAGTAACATTCAGCTTTACTTCTAGCATGTTATTATGCAAAAAAACCCTTCCAAGCTTCTGACAGAAAGTTAATAGAGACGAAAGCACAAAACCCCCTAAATCAGTACAAAGTCAAACTTTGTAAACTTCTTTTTATACATATGCAGAGATTGGCTGCAAAGTATTTCATGCTACTTTTAGACTAAAGAAAAAAAAAATAGTGATGGTGACAAGTTACAGTTATATTAAGTATATGGCACAGGTATGGATCCAAGCTTCACAGTTAATGTCTTTCTCCCTGTGCAGGAATGATTTCCCCAAGCTTTGAGGGAATAAATCCCGATACCCAACGCATTTTGCACTCTAAATGAATAAGAAAATACACAAGTTTTGCACTGTATTATAAAATGTGTTACATGGTATAATATATTGCATTATATATGTATTATAAAATGAAGCATCACTTCTGAAGAAATGACGCATAATGAAGCATCACTTTTAAAGAAAACATGTAAGATTATTGCACTGTTCAATTATAGACATCATTGAATATTATTTCAGGGTATAGATGTAGTCAGCCATAAAGATACTGCCACTCTTGGATACATCTAGGGTCCATCTAATTTAGTACTCTATTGCTGACCATACCTAGGATCAGGTACATTACAGGAAACTTGGGAAAAAAGGTAACTATGGAGAGGTAGATTACCTTCCTTCCTCAGTGACTGCAGCTATTAGGAAAGCCAAAGTAAATATAATTTGTATTTCCCTTCAGTACTCTCTGTTTGGCAATAATTCTCATAATCCATATATTCTTGATATTCATAGCCTTGTATTATTAAGGTTTGGGGCTCAAACTACTTCACAGTATAAATATGATTCATACAAAAAACTGATTCCCATTAGTTATTGGTCCTGTTTATACAAAACTCTGCTGTTCTCTGCTAGCAACTGAGACAATTCCCTCATGAGATGCTTCATAATTCATGGCCCACTAACTCCCTTTTTATAAATTAAAAGTTTTTTTCAGCTACTACTTTTTCTGATACCTCAACCTCCATTACTATCTCATTTCTAACAAAAGACAGCACATCTACAACAGGACTCTTGGACGCAGCATCATAACCATGGTGCTGAAGACCATCACTAAGAAATTATTGTAATTCTTAATATGTGTATCATCATTCCCTTGATCTATTAGTAATGAGTAAGACCTGCTGTGTTATGTTCCTTGTACTGCTTTTTAAGAAAGAGTTTATAAATATCCTCCTGAGTTTAAAAAAAGCAAACAACTTCCGGATTTAAAGGATAGTCTGAAAATGAAGACTTTTCAATGGGAGTCTCAATTATCTACATCTACATAATCAGTATGCTACTTCCTGATGTCATGGTAAATCTGAATACGTTTCAAGACATACATTCTTTTTCAGTATCAGTGATTCAATATACAGTGAAGTGAGTGCACATTTTGCAAAATTTCTGTGGGGTGTATGAATATCTAAAATTTTAGCTTCTGCTTCGATTTCTTCCTTCCTATGTAAGAGACAAAAAAAATTACCACAATTTTTGTAGAAAACAAGTGATGTTCTGTTTTAAAAAAATACTTGTTTTGAATGGACCTAACCATTGTCTTAGTCTTACTTATTAATTTGTTTATTGGTGGTTGGAGAGAATTCCTAAAAGCTTTAAACTCAAAGATGGAAAATCCCACATTCTATCACCCTCAAAGGAGACACACAGCATTTTCTCTTGAAATTGAAACTCTTGACCTAAATCTGATGTAGAATAGCTTCCTTTATTTGTGGTAAAGAGAGGCTGTTGAGAGCATATTGTTAAGCAAACTGTTTAAAAACAGAACATCACCACTGCCAATAAAGTACTATTATTCAGATTTTGAGAGCAACAGCATGCAACTATTTGGTTCATTCAGCTGTGTTTTCTATATTGAAATAGCAGTTGCACAGCATTAAGGGAGAAATACTGTTTCAAAATCTGATAAAAGATAACGTGAGGATAAAAAACTGCCCAAGTTTACCTCTCTGAAGTCAGCTGCACAAACTTTGAATGTTGGGGGGGGGGGGGGGTTTGCTACCCTGTATGCATCATTCCCTCCATCTAAATGCAATTGTTAATAGCACTTACACAAATAAATACCATAAGCTTTCCTTATAGAAAAAGGCTGATGTTTAGGTTACTAGGTATCAGTTGATATCACGCTGAGCACTCCAAAACATCAAGTAAAGACCTTCAAGAAAAACTTCTCTTGGAAGCAGAAGACTGAAATTCTCTCCTGAAAATGAAAAGCTCTATCAGCAGTAAATTACAAGGCCTGGCCAATCCTTTTCCCCTTAACACTTGTTTTAAAACATTTTTCTATGCTTTGATATTGTCTTTTATAAATATCCTACTTAGTATATAATTTCCTTTTCTTAACTGAAAAATTTATAGTGTCATCTGCTGTCTTTCAGTGGGAAAAAAGTAATTTTTATATACATATATAAATAACTGATGGAAACACATACAAGGCTAAACAATGGTCCACCTTCCAAACGTAAGCTAGTAAAAAGCCATCCAAGACTGTACAGCATCTGAACTCTGAAGCATGACACTTGCAAATGAATCTTTATCTGTCCATGGAACCTCAATGATACTCGGTGACTGTAGGAGAGCTCAACCATGTGATTCACACTACAGCTTCATGTATTTGCAGATGAGTCCCTTTTCCCTCTAAAACGTTCCATCTGCTATATCACATAAATGTCATTTAAATTATCTATGATTTATTTGTAGAATCATTTTAAATCTGTAGCTTAGCTTTCTACAATTACTACCAGTATTTTAGAAGTTCAAAAGGGTTTACTTTTTACCGTACTAGTTGGTGGTATGAAGTTTGAATGCAGGCTCTTTCCCAAAACACCTCGGGAAAAAAAGGATATGTACCCTAATGGAGAACAAACCCACTGGTAGGACCTTTACTGAAAAGCCTGTACTAAAGCTTACTTCACTAAACCAGGTAGTAGTCTCCATGAGGTCTTATTTGCATTTTAAGCAGTACTCTAAGCCTCCTCTGCACTGAATTACACAGCATTCATGAAGCTACTGAAGCTGCAATATTGAAATGAGGCATAGGATTCTGAAACATTTAACATTAAAGATATTTCATGCTTAAAAATATTATAAGATTAGAAAGTGTAGCATGAGCTGAACTAATTGAAATGTTATTTCACAGGAAGAAATCCAACTAAATATATTTTTCCTCAATTCGTAAATCTAGCAGGCACCATTAAATGAAAAAATCTAAATTTAAACTATACACTCAGTAAATTAATGAAAAAACATTACAGCACAATATAAGGCAGAGCCTCCAAAAGTCCAAAAATTAAATATCAGATAAAAAGGGCTTACACCTTATTTCCTTACACAAACCTCAAGTGTAGTTTTGCTTTTTAAAAAGCAAGACCTAAACTCCCTTCTGCTTTCTAAAAAAATCTAAAAAAAAAAAAAAAAAAGGAGAATGGATTATTAATTGCAAAAAGGAAAGAGAATGTCTGCTTGACTTGCACAAGTTGGATGAAAGGGCTTTAATGAGTTAGAAGCATACCCGCATTTTATTAAAACGTACTAAGTTTCTCATCCTGTTAGTTATTAATGTAAACTTTGTTTCTTTTTTAGCAAATATTCTGTCTTTCAGTGAAATAAAGACTTCTAAAGCATGAATGGATCCACTTTGTCTGCATTCTTTGCATATATCCCCTTTTCCATGTTTCCTAGGAAACCTTCAATCATTGCCACATCCTATGTGGAAGGGCACCCACATTTCTCTAACAGATAAAACCATCCAATTCCACACAAAGTAAGTTTAGAACTACTGAAGCAAAATACTGTTCTTTTCTATAGGAAGCTTATGGCAATTAATTCAGACAAGTAATTTGGACAGCTACCAAATGCAGA